GTCAGAAACTAGCTCTGGTCGTCGAGTCGTAGCACGTCGTATGAGACGGTTAGGTTTCAATTTCGAGTCTTTCTATTTTGTTGATGTTATTCATTCGGCAGGTGGATTAGTAGTAGGGTGGTCTCCCGATGTGAATTTTTCTATTCTTTGTACTTCGTCGTTGTTTATTGCAGCCTCTAATAATAATAATAATAATAATAATAATGTTTCGCAGTATGTCATCGTGTGTGTGTCGCTAGTAGCATCGCTGCTATTCATCGTGTTCAATTGGAAGAACTTCGTGGTATTTGTTCGAGCATTCTAGTTCCTTATGTGGTAGTTGGAGATTTTAAGTGTATTATGATCGATTGAAAAGTCTGGTGGTAATGCTTGGACTCCTACTCAATCTGAGGACTTTCGGAACTTTATTGATGTCTTGGGGTTGCAAGACTTGGGGTATCAAGGGAACCCATTTACTTGGACGAATAAGCGAATGGGTGACGCTTGTGTAATGGAACGGTTGGATCGGGCGTTGAGATATGTACGGTGGATCGATAGCTTCCTCATTATGTGGTCAAACATTACACAGATCGGGGGTCAGATCATAGAGAGCTCATTGTAGCGGACAAAGCTTTTAAAAGGAATTGTCGGCCTCTTTTTAGGTTTGATGCTCGTTGGGGAGATAACACGAAGGTTCGACCCTTTGTCCAATATGTTTGGAACCAAGAGATCAGAGGTTCTCCGATGTACCAATTATGGAAAAAATTGAAGCAGCTATGTCGTCTGCTATATGATTGGAGCAGAGTTGGTACCACTAACTCGGCTAGATTGATTAGAACTCTACAGACAGAAATAGAATGTCTTAAACAATCAGCGCCTATTGATTGGGACATGATTCGTCAACTTGAAGAAGAACTGTCTAAACAGATGGGGTTTTGTCCAGTTTGGAAAACCCCTATGATAGAGTGGAGTGGCCTTTCTTATTGGCAGTCTTGTAAGAGATGGGGTTTTGTCCAGTTTGGATTCGGTGGATACAAGAATGCCTATCATCGGCCTCATTTTCGATGATGATGAATGACCCTCCATCTGGTTTCTTTAGTTCTTCGAGGGGTCTTAGGGGTGGAGCAGGGAGCTTCTCCCTTCCTCCCGTCAGCACCAATAGATGAGACAGAGAAGGTTGTCGCGTTCATAAATTCGGACAAGGGTACTTGGTGTCGAGACCGTTTGAATGCTTGACTCCATCCTGAATGAGTGCCGATGATTTTGGCTATTCCTTTGCCTCGTTTGGCAATTGTGGATAGGCTGGTTTGGCAGCGTGACCCGTCTAGTGTTTACACTGTCAAGTCAAGGTACTACCTGGCGTTTGGACGGAGTCGTGCTTTGGTTCGGTCGAAAGAAGAGGCCAGTTGGATGGATCTTAAGCTCTAGAATGAGATATGGGAGTTGAAGATTCAACCTAAGTTGCAATTTTTCCTTTGGCATATCTTGAGTCGTATTTTTCCTACGACGGAGGCTTTATAGGAGAGGGAGGTGGAGGTGTTGGTTCGTTGCCCGGTTTGCTGGGCGGAGTTGGAAACGATAAAGTACCTCTTCCTTCATTGTCCGGTGGCCCGTTCCTTATGGGTAGCGACTGGTCTTCAAGATCTGATGGCCGAAGTGGATAATCTAATCTTGTCATTTTTTGCGTCGGATTCTGGAGCGTATATCATCGCTAGTGGCGAGCATCTGGATGGTGGCAGTGTATGGCAGATTTGGAAGGCCCGTAACTGGATGGTGTTTGATTTCAAACAAGTTAATATGCAGGTGTTACAGCGGCAGATGCAACACCAGATCCTGGAGTGGCGTTGCACCCTCCCGCAGGTTGTCCCTGGGAGGTAGGCTGGTAAGGGGGGACAGGTGGTGGAGTCGCAATTAGGTTCAGATATGGGTATTCTATGTGCTTTTGATGGTGCCTTGTGTTGGGAATCCCATCTGGCTTATGGATTGGTCATTAAGGCTTGAGACGGGTGCGTCAATAATGGTTAAGGCTAGGCGCTTGGAAGGGATTTATGAACTGGAGATGGTAGAGTTGATAGCTCTTCGGGAAACGTTTCATTGGTGTGTGGAAAATGGCCTCAGTTCGGTGCGGATACAGGGGGACGCTAAAGTGATTATTGACAGGGGTCAATGCGAGTTGCATGGCTAATGCTCAAAGTGGCGCCCTTTATCGTGAGATCCAAGCTCTCAGACGTGAATATTTGGGGGTGATGGTGCAGTTCATTGGAAGACAAAATAATAGGGTTGCCCATGTGATGGCAAGAAAAGCTCTTGTATTGTCTGCTAATGATGTGTTATGTTGTGATTTTTCAGCTTGACTCCGTCTGGAGTTGTAAACGTATGATCTATGTTTTTTGGTAATGCAAGCTATCTTTGGTTTTAATAAAAAAGAAATCAAAGCAGGAGCCCAAATGTGGAAATAAAATATATAAACGGATGTTATGTGAAAGAAAAAAAAAAGAAATAAACGGTAGCTAATGGGGAAAGTATCTTTATTTTTAAGTTTTTTTTTCTTAATCAACAACTGAAGATTATCTTAATGTAATTGAATGGTAAAGATGTATGCAAGTTATCTCACTTGAAATTATACCCAAGTTATTGTAGGAGATCCCATTATATATATATATATGGTTCAGGCTAGCGTACGTCAGGCGTACCCTGTACGCCCGTCGAGTTTTACTATTTAGAGCACAAATTAACCGGAGTTTGGGGCATGATACTATAACCTAACCTCTAATGGGTGAACCTCAATCCCTAATTCCCTAACCCAAGCCATGAGATTCATTTAATCTAAAAAATAATAACCGATGGTTCTGATTCCACGAAATATATTGAAGTGCAAAAATCAAGTGAGAACACAGGCGTACAGCGTACACATGCCTTTGCCATATATATATATATATATATATATATATATATACCTTGTACCAGAGTTTGATTCGATAGGCAGTTTTTTACGGTATGAAATAGTTAAACCACAATTATACGATATCATGATTTCACGATAGAATATCCCCTAGTACTACTGGCTTTTCGTGTACAAAATTTGGGTATATTTTTGTTTTAGGTTTTAGGTGTGCCGGCAGGCAGCCATCCTACTATCACTGATGTTACTACAGCGTGCAGAAATTGGAGGACAGCGAATGAGCACCACTTGGCCGGGGGGCCCCTACGCATATGTGTATCTATCTAGCTATCTATCGTCTTCACTAGTGGCGGACTAGACTACTATACCAATACTACACTGATCACTGTTCTCTGTGTCACTGAGTCTGCACTTTTTGCAAGTCTGGCGATCATGGTGGGCTCTCTTCCCATGTGCCCTCCAACCACTCCCACGCCCAATAGCCAACGCGGTTTCTCCATTTCCCAATAAATACCCGTCACTCCTCCGCTCTCCAAACCCAACCATCTCTCACACCAACTTCGAAAACCAAAACAACGTCCAATATTCTTTTTCTCCGCCATGAAAACTGATCACAAGCTCCTCGGAGCATTTTTCTTTCTGTGCCTGGGCTTGGGCATTGCCTCGGCAGCTAGAGCCCTCTTCACTCTCGATGGAGGTGCTGGTTATGGCGCTGGCCAAGGTGCTGGCGGAGGTGCTGGCTACGGTGGAAGTGTCCACGGCTACGTAGCAGCGGGAGGAGGCGGCGGGGGAGGCGGTGGCGGTGGAGGCGCCGCTGCGGAACACGGTGGCAGTGGGGTGGGAGGTGGAGAAGGTGGCGGCGCAGGGTATGGCAGTGGCGGTGGTGCAGCGGGGTACGGAGGTGGAGGAGGCGGAGGGAATGGTGCTGGCGGAGGAGGCGGCGGAGGTGACCATGGTGGTGGGTATGGTGCCGGTGGTGGTGAGGGTGCTGGGAGCGGGTATGGTGCCGGCGGTGGGATTGGGGGTGGCGGTGGCGGAGGGGCGGGTGGAGGCGGTGGAGCGGCAGGGGCTGGTGGTGGGTATGGTGGAGGGGAGGGTGCTGGTCATGGAGGGGGAGCCGGTGGAGGAGCGGCCGGGGGAGGAGGTGGTGGTGGTGGGAAGGGAGGAGGCGGTGGTGGCGGTGGAGGCGCCCAAGGAGGAGGTGGTGGGTATGGTGGAGGAGAAGGAGGTGGTTCTGGAGCTGGCGGTGGAGGAGCGGCGGCTGGTGGGTATGGTGGTGGCGGCGGGAGTGGAGGCGGTGGGGGTGGTGGCGGAGGTGCTGGAGGGGCGGCTGGAGGTGGGGTTGGAAGCGGTGGTGGTGAGGGAGGTGGGTATGGTGGTGGAGCCGGAGCGGCGGGAGGTGGAGGCGGTGGTGGAGGGACTGGCGGCGGCGGTGGCGGCGGCTATGCACCGTGATTGAGTGGGGTTATAAATAAATATGGGAACCATCGAATGATGATCAGTATGTTATTGCATGGGGGTGGTGAAGTAAAATGATGAAATGGGTTGGATGTTGTTATTATTATGTTGTGCCGGAAATGTAATTTGGCAGAATAAGATTTGTGTATGTGATATATATGTAACCAGAAAGTGTCTAATATGTGAGGATCGGGTACTGTAATCTATAGTTGATCATTATTCTATGTTGAGCAATGAGCATTAATGTTATTCATGGCTAAGTGAAGTGGCTTGCTTTTGGGTTCATTATATTGAAATGTTTTACGTGCATACACTAGCTTATCATGTTGATCCAACAAACCGGGAAGAGAATAGAGTCGCGAACTGACTCTCGAAGAACAGTCTCGTCTATCCCCTTTGATATGTATGAACTAGAAGATCCTCCAACCGGTCTTGATAAGATACTTTTGAAAGATATGATTGGTGTTAGCTTTCCAAGGATGGTTAATACGGGATAACTTGATTTCCAAGCTTTTACTAGTTTGTTTTCCCCTTAAGATTATTCTTCTGTCTTGGTAGTCCTTGATCCCCTAGACCTGACCGGGTTGTGGTCAGAGTCTCGTGAGTTTGTATCTGAGTGTTTGTTTCTTGGCTTTCAGCCTCCTTCATTCAAAAAATGTTGATCCAACAGCCCATCGAATTAATTAATCACCACAATTGTTTATAGATTTTCATATAATATAATGAACAATTTCTTTATAGATTTTCAAGTGGTACCACATTAATTACAAAGACGTGCAAACAAAACCCCAATTTCTTATTTTCTTGCTTTCTTTGACCCCTCGTTTCCGACGGAGCGAAAAAGTCAAAAGACTTCACTTTCCTTCTTCGAGACCTTGTATTTGGATTACTGATGAGTACATCCACATTCATATAAATCCCCTATGGTCGTTCGACGTTGACATCCTCCGTCTCTCAATAAGATTGATCAGATCATTCAACTTAGAAGCCACATTAAAGAATATTAATTAATGAGCATATATATGCAAAATCATGTATATTATTTTAACCATCGACGTCGTCGTCATCATCATCGTGATCATGGAAGTTGTTGTTCTTGGCGGATCTCGCTTTCCTGACTGCATGTTGGATCCTCCTCTCGTGTTCTTTCAGCATCTCTTCAATGTTGCCTCCTGCGGTCATCAATGGCCCCGAGTGATGCATATGCATACTAGTACCACCCTTCTTCACGACCACAAAACACCAACAACAATCAAACCAATCAGCTGAAATCATCACTTAGATGAAGATCGATATATATATATATATATGGGCGGAGTTGGTACGTAATTAATCTTACCCTTGTGGAATCCATGGCAGAAGAGCGATCACCCTTGGTACTAGTACTGTTGTCTCTAATCACTACTGAGTTCGTAAACCTCGATAGCTTATAATTAGCTGCTGTTGATGTTGTTTGGTTTGATGAGTTCCTTCTTGCAGCTACTAATTCATCAAGTGAGTTTGCAGCGTTTCTTGTTGATGTGGTTCCATTGGAGTTAGCTTCATCATCATGTGCCTCTTTCTTGTTCTTCGACCTTTCGTTATTCCTCGTTGCTTTCTCCCTTTGATCCCGCTCTTTTCTCCTCTGCTCGTAGATTAACTTAATCATCAGTACCAATTAAGTACCAGCCCCATGCCAATAGTACAAAAGCAGAGAGGTTTATATGTCAACAACCGGTTGGTTCAATTCGAACTATCGGATAAATTTAATAATGAATCTTATACCACATACTAACACGTTCCATCAAACGAAGGATTGAAATTTGAACAGGCATCGGACACCATGTGCTCACCAATACGGAATTTATATATGGTATTCAACCATAAGAACTCGGCCACATAAATCCCCAATACCACATCAAGAACTAGTTGATTCCATTAACTTCAAATTGTCGAGAGAGATTTTGCAAATGAATCGATCTTATACCAACAGTGTGAGACTGATAAATAATTACCTTTGCTGAGATATGCACGTCTATATTACTATTAATAGTTGCAATGACTTTAGCCCCTCTTGTGAATATCCGTTCCGATTCCCTTCCTTTGCCTTTACCTCCTGCTACTCTTTTCCTGCGTTCCCAAAATTCGGTTCAATTCATTAGTTGGTATCAATAATTCGAATTGTTCAGAATTGATATCTTATTCCACTCTATCGTACGTGTACCTTAAAAAAGCAAACTCATCACGGGCTTTAAGGTTGTTCAGGCCCACTATATTTTGTACTTTAATCAAATCTTAATATTGCGTATCGCGAAGATTCCAATACATAATCATTTAGAGTAAAAGAACTATGATACTATGTCATAAACCATTTGATGATTGAGGAAAAATTAATTATCAATCGTATACCTCTCTTACCGTAGAATCAAAACATGTGCAAACAAAGACATACAAGAAGACGATGAGGGAAGAAACCTTTTGTTTTCATCTTCCCGGAGCTTGACATCGAATTCCTTGCTTGGAGGGTAGTTGGGCAAGCTAGATGGCTCGCAGGGAAGAGGTTCTGTCGTGAAAAACTAATCAAAACAATAGTTAACAACTCCTTTAGTGGATCATATATATATATATACGAAGCCATATTTAACAAGTTGCATGCATGCAGTTTCACAGTTTACCTACGTACGTACCTCACTAGCAAGTGCTGAAGCCGTGGAGCCGCGATTTTCAGGATCCACAGAAAGCAGCGCCTCAACAAGCCCTAGAGCCGACGACGGCAGCGTGTCCTTAAACTTCTCGCCAACCCTCCTCTCGTAACGCTGCCGAGGTTTAAAAATGGCGGTGTGGGACAGCTTCGACGTCTTCGACTTCCAGTACTCCTCGCTGGGGGACCCACAGAGCTTGAAGATCTTGTGGATCTGCTCCACCTCCGTTCTTCCGGGCAGGATCGGCTTCCCGCCGTTGAACAGCTCGGCCAGTATGCATCCGGAGCTCCACAGGTCGACTTCCACTCCGTAGTCCGTGGAGCCGAGCAGGAGCTCCGGAGGCCTGTACCACAGCGACACCACCCTGCTCGTCAGTTGACGACGATAAGGCTTATCGGTTCGGTTATCGGTTGTTGTAGTTGGTTTGGTTGTGCGGAAAGTTGCTAGTCCGAAATCAGCGATCTTGAGATTCCCCTTGGAATCGATCAAGAGGTTGGCTCCCTTGATGTCGCGGTGCATGATTCCCCGGCTGTGGCAGTGGGCCAACCCACTGAGCAGCTGCTTCATGTAGCATTTTATCTACAATGGGAAATTTTGTTACTAGTAGAAACACCCTTTTTATTATATAATCACATTCATCAAATACTAGATATCAACTTCAAAATTCTAATAATCAAATAACGCTTAAAAAGCAAGTAAATTGTACATAATTGTCATGTAAACTCTTCCAATAATTTGTTCATCGTATCATGAACATTAAAACAAAACGAAAATTACAAGAAAACGTGAATACCACGCGAAAACAAATTGTACTATAGATTGTTTCACCTTAAATAATAAATGGGTTCTCGCAAAATTACGATAAACTTATTGATCTTTCTATTACCTGTGATTCAGTGAATTGGGATCCTGAACTTGACAACAATCCAGAGAGATCATGATCCATGTACTCAAAAACCAAGTACAAGCTACCAGACGTTGTCGTGGTAATAATGCCTTCAAGTTTCATCACGTTAGGATGATCAAGCCTCCTTAGAATGATGATTTCTCTCGCCATGAACTTCACGCTCTCTGGATCCATATTCGCAAACCGAACCTTCTTTAGCGCAACTATCTTCCTCGATTCTAAATCACGTGCCTTATAAACACTACTATACGTCCCTTGTCCAATCTACCACACAAAATGAAAGCAATTGACATAATTTGACGTTAGAAACCTCCCTTCTATACATTAACATTACCGTTATATATATAATACCAACCTTTTCCAACTTCTCAAAGGAATCAAGCCTTCTTGGGATCCAACCATTGATTGCTTCACCAGCCACCGCAGTCAGCCAAGAAGGCCAGCCGGCGACGACCGGACCAGCTTTCTCCCCGAGCGCCACGCTCGAGAAATGATGATTGGATCTGCTCTTCTTCTTCTTATTCTTCTTGTCATCCTGATCGTCGTTAGGGGTCAAGGGGAAGATCCCAAGCCCTCCGTCGTAATATTCGTCGGTGTCGATCTCCTCGTCTCTTTTGGACGCACTTCGCTTGGAACATTTCTTGCCCTTGTTGTCTTTGCTCTTGCCGCCGCCGCCATTTTTGGGTTGTTGACGTCCTTTGGAGCAAATGCAGCCCATAACACCAACCCACGCCATCTTGATCCCGAGCAGCTTCAGAAATCTCTGCCGGCTCAATGGAATCATGCATGCATGGATCGGGATGATGGCTCTCACGTCGAGCCTTTTTATCGTCTTCTTCGAGATGACACGGGCTCGAGTTAATGAATCAACCATCACGACTACTTGTCGATTTTTTACGTTAGGGTTTGACGATATCTCTCAATCAGGAAGGATCGCGCGTAGCAGAGCCCTAATCGAAGAAGAATCGATAGGGAAGCTAGCCTAGGGTTGCACCTCCAATTACATTGTTTTATTAGCAAGAGACCTTGATACCGAAATTTTCACATTAATTCGTCAATTTATGTGACGATGTATGCCCAGGATAATGTTAAACAATAACAAGATGAAATTTGGGGGCAAAGTTTAGATTCAACAATGAAGAAAAGAGGGCCTAAATGTAAGGCACGTATATAGATGATTTAAAAAAACACTTTATGAAATATTCTAGAGAGGGTCATCAACCAGATATGTTCAAAGATTATGAAGGAAACCAAAAACAAATGGAAATTTTTTTTACAGAGAAATAAAGGGACAACAAAATAACAATGAAATTTGTCAGATGGAGGGGAAGAGAGAATTGAAAGGAAATGCTAATAGTTGAAAAGATAAGAAGAAAGAAAGATAATTAGGATTACTTTAACTAGGATGTCAATCTGGAGGCAATATGGGAAACAATTTCTTCAACTTGCAAAAAGATGTTTAAGAACGTAATCAAGTGGAGGTTGGTTCAACAACTCAAAAGCGCCTTTCTTGTTATTAGCTAAGGGGTCGTTTACTTTGTGCATTTGAAAAAAAACGAGAGTTTTGGTAGAAATTTGGTTTTTGAAAAATTATGGATATATGATGGATTTGGGGTATTATGAATTTGAACAAGTCTATTGTTTGCTTGTTGAATTTGGTTATGAATTTTGTTTAATTAGATTTGCGAATATGAAATACAAATTACCTTGTTACCTTTATATAATTATATTTCTATATTATAATCCAAACAAATCCAATACATACAAAGAAATTTTACTCTTTACCGCTACTTTGTGGGCTAATAATTCAACGACAAATATAGAAATGTATGCACTAATAAACAATTCAAAAACGCACAACAAATATTTCACATAAACGAACACGTAGTCATAGGCATCGAACAAGTATTCAAAGGCGTCGAACAAGTATTTAAAGCTGACAAAGATGTATTTCAAATCGGTTTATGAAATACAATTGCCCTTATTGCCCTTGTTTAAATAAAATACAACATTACAAATAAAATAAAAATCATTATACTTAAATATGACATTACAATGATAAATTATAATATTTTAATAAAATACAACATTAGTTGCATGCCCAAATAAAATATGAGGATAAATTTGTAACTAAAAAAATAAGTGAATGTAGAAGAGTAAACTATCATCATGGATTTTAATCCATCGTTCAAATCTCACCTCAAGATGTGGAACTTGTAAATCCGTGAATCCCGTGGATTTGGTCTCATACAAAGCATATAGAAGTCTATGTTAGATAGAGAGAACATATACCTTACCAAGTAAGAATTAGCACAATAAAAGACAGCAATAAATCCACCCCCACGAATTTTATTACCCTAATTCTATTAAGAAATCTTTGGACTTCGCTTAAAGTACATTATAGATACCCAAATTCATCACAAAATCCATAAAGCAAACAACTCTTAAATGTAACCCAGTGTATGTATTAGATTCAATTTCCATTGATTGATAACCCTATGGTGGTCAAATTGCTTGTGCTCCAAGAGGCTATTATGTGGTTTCTGGCCTGGACCACGGTTTCAAGGAAATAAGGTTTGAAGGTGATGCTATAGTGATCATCGACAAGATTAATCAGGTAGATACCAACGATAACCGGATGGGGGCTATTCTTGAAGAAATTATGCATAACTTTGCCATCCATTCTGGGTTTAGTGTTCGATTTGTAGGTCGGTGTAGTAATAGGGTTGCCATGTGGTGGCTAAAAATGCCCTTTCTTTGTACCCGACTACGAGTCGTTTCTTTGATTTCCAAACCTTGTTGAATTCCATAATGTAATTATCTACTTTTTAAATCAATATATGATTATCTTTTGTCAAAAAAAACCCTAGTGTATGTATTAGGAAGATAGAAAAATAAAAATAAAAATCCAACGAAGCTATGGAGAAATGGGCCAATTGCATCATTTTACATTAATGGGAGGTATTTGGAATTATAACGTATGTTATGTGAAGAATGTTAGTTAAATCAATTTTGTATTCAGTTATTGAGAAGAACATACGTCATAATCCTCTAAACTCTAACCCACGAGTCCACTAACGTATTCCGTATACCCTATACATTAAGTGAATTTTATGTACCGTATTATACCATATACATTAAGTGAATTTTATGTTTTTTTTCATAAAATAAATTTTAAGGATGGTCTTACACTCTTACTAAGTTGTGACCCATTAATTACAATCTAACTTTTTATTTTAAAATTCAGTTAACAACTTCTGCTAGGCTTTGAACCGTGTACCTTAAATTGGAAAGACCATCACAGGAGACAACTAGTACACATAATTAATCTGTTACAATGTGAACGTATTGTTTACTTGGTTCAACTAAAAGGCAGAGAGACTAGAAAAGTGAAACGAATCCCTAAAATATATATTTATGCACCAAAATATATTATCTACATATAATATTTATGCACCAAAATATATTATGTAGTATTATCCGTGCCAATCGGGCGGGTTCGGGTTGAGTTAATCGGGTTTGGGTTAGTCGGGTTACGGGTCAAGCGGGTTGCGGGTCAAACAGGGTTCTGGTCAAGCGGGTTGCGGGTCAATTGGGTTACGGGTCGGGCGGGTTGCGGGTCTTTGACTTTTAGCCTAATCGGATTGCAGGCGGGTCGCGAATCGAGTTGGTTGGGGGGGTTACTTGGGTCGGGTCATGTTTTGACACCTATACAAATAACTATAACCGTATCAAAGTGCAACAATTGAGAAATCTCTAACATTGTTTGGATGACACGATGAGTCAAGCAATTCGGTCAAATAGTAGTCTTGTTGGTCAACACGAAATAAGGATGCATTAATTGGTCAACACTATGACTAACTGGACCTTTAGATCTAAGTGGACCCAAAAAATCTAGATCTAAGGGTTGTCAATTAAAAGTATTTTATTTTTTTCTAGTTTTATTAATCGGCTCTTATCTACTTCCTTCTAACTCGGATTTCAAATTTTTTTTTTTCACAGATGGAACGAGTTCGTTGTGCTCTTTAAAATGAGATCAATTTTCAATATATTTCAAGAATTTTTTTTACCAACTACATACCATATGGTAACTTCTTCGTTTTTAAGTCGTTTTTGAAAATGTTTGCTCAGAAGGAACGAGTTCATCATGATCTATTGGATCTACAAATTTATGGGTGAAAAAATACTGGACCAAAAATTACCATACTTTACCACTCTGGTATGTGGGTGGTAACTTGTGGTAACTTGTAGTAAACAATGATGAAAATCGTAAATGACAGTTAGTATACTCCTACTATCATGTATTCAAAATTCTTACCATATTGGTATGTTCATACCATCATGATACGCTTTCTTACCATATGGTATTAAATAGGAGCATACAATATGGTAATGACTGGTAAAAAATTATTCAATTTTTTTGTACTAAAAATGTATCAAAGTGGATATCATTTTAAATGCACATTTAATATGATTAACTGTGCAAAAAAAAAATTAAATTTCGACTTAAAATGATAGAGAAATCGTTCGTTAAAGATTAAAGGGGAAAATATAAAAGATAAAAGACTTTCAAGAAGAGAAATACTGATGTTATATTGATGTGGACGGGTTACTCATGATTACTGACCTGATCCGTTCTCACAATTTCATTCTCACAACTTAAATTTTCTAATTGGTCTCATTAAAAAAATCATCATCTAAATGGCCCCAAGCCTAATTGCTCTAGCTATTAGATTTTCGCATAGCTAAACGGGGCAATTTTTTCATTTATGCCAAATCAACTTATCAATAGATATGAATTAAGGAGCATATGAGGATTGGATATCAATCTAGAGGCAATATGGGAACAATTTATTCAATTTGCCAAAAGATGTTGCTTAGGAAGTAGGAACATTATCAAGTGGAGTTTGGTTCAACAACTCAAAAGCGCCTTTACAATAAAGGAGGTTACTAAATTTGACCTGATAAATGTAATAGGAAGATAGAGAAAGAAAGAAAAAAAAAAAGACAATCGAGCAAGGTTGTCAACCCGCGGGTCGATCTGCGGGTTGACCCACTTTGACCCTGACCCGGTGAGAAAAACGGGCCGTACGTACCCGCCAGGTCGACCGCTACAAGGTACCGGGTTGGAGGTCAAATTGTGTCATTTTTTTCTTTGTTTTGCGAAATGCGCCTATTTTCCGATTTTTCTTTTCGCCTACCTCAACCTTTGGAATCCTAAGTTGAACATTTGAATATTAATGTTATATAAGTGTGTGTGAATTTTCATTATATGTTGAATCTAAGTACGAAATGTTATTTTGGTGTAATATTATATGTAATATTATATGTTATAACTCATATGTTAGATGATATTTGATATAATTTATCAGGATAAGTACAATATAATGACGCTTTCCATATTTCCGGGCTAAACCGGGCTAAAATGGGTGACCCATTGACCCTTGACCCACTAGCTCAACCGGGTCCGGGTCAACCCGCGGGTTGACAACCTTGAATGGAGTGATTGAGAAATGGGTTGTATTGCTTCATTTTACAAAGAGACATTTTAATGAGAATTAAACAAGGTTGTCAAACCGGTTTATGTCAGTGTGCCGGTTTAGCAAGTGGAATGGTTCGACTGGTGGTACATATCGGTTTGTGCCGGTTAATATTACAAATAATTTATAAATACTCATATTTAAACACGACATTTAACGTAAATACCTAAATATTTGTACTTGAATCCAACAACTAACATCAATATTTAACTTTTAACGCATAAAAAAATAATAAATTACTTTTTATCAATTAAATTCACTAAAATAAGATCATTTTACTTGGAGATTCGTATATCGATCATGCCGGTCATACCGGTGATGTCATACTGGTTTTATGACCGGTATAGGTTGAACCAGGTTCAACCAGTGGCACGCCGGCCGGCGTGACAACCATGGAATTAAATTATTATAATTGCTTTAAAAAAATCAATTAAAATTTTTCCATGTATAAAGTCTCTATTGGATTTTGTGTAGGTAAATGGGACAATTTGGTGTAATTATTTCAATATGAAACAATTATACCAAATTATCTTATTGAAAACAACTTAGATTTTTTTATTTTGCATGTCAAATGGAAGAGTAATGTTATTAGTTATAATATTATCAGTGAAGAAGGAGATAGATTGAAGTCATGAGGGGCTATAGCTCACTAAAATTTAAACTAGAGTAAATTGCAAAGTTGGTCACTGAGTTTACAAAAAAACGTTTATGTTTGGTCACTCTCCGTTAGTCTCCATTATCTTTTGTTGATGTGGCAGTCAACATTTATAGTTGACCGTTTAATTAGTGATGTGGCTATTAAAAATTAAAAAAAAATTAATCTATAATAATTTCCACCTCATTACATATTCATTAAAAAATAAATTAAAAACCTAAAATTTCTAGTCCGCCTTTAACATCACTGATGACGCTATATTCTCTGTTCATTGCCGGATGAGACTCATCGTCGTTGTCCTCTCCAGGCGCCGGTCTGACTTGGCCAGAACCTGAACCGGCTCCCTTGTTCATCAAATCACCCGTCGCCATCTGCAACCGCGGCTCCCATTTCATCGTCGCCGTGAACTCCCAGCTCCAAGTCGCCGTCAGCGACTTCCGTCGCCAATCGCCGCCCTCCAGCTACAGCTCCGCCTCATGAAACACAAGTCACCGCTGCCATCTCTCTGTCTCCAGTCCGTCGCCGTCTCCATCAATCAACCGCCTTTTCTTTTCGAAGTCCCCCGTTCGCCAACAATCATTGTCTCCAGCTCCCGGCCGCCCGCCATTGCCCCCATTGTCGTTGGAATCGGGATTTTCCGATTCAGAAACGAATCAAAGTGAGGCAGTCGGTAAAGAAAAGAATTAGATTGCGCAATTAGGTGATTAGTTTAGGGCGATTAGAGCCCAATTTACGTTAGATTGTCCAATTTACCTGCTTGATAGCCAAAAGCTCTCTGGAATCAAGATTCATGCCCATATAGACCTGCCCAAACGTGCCGCACCCGATCAGCTCTCCTTTCTGGTAGCAGATCGGAGGGGCCATGGGAAGCGGAGGGGATGACGGAGGTTTGGCAAAGATTCTCGACTTCCGAATGCATGAATTGATCTTGTCGGCCAATGGACGAGTCCCCGTTAATGGAGGGCTTCCCCCGCTGTTGAGTTCCGTCGTAGTGCTGCTGCTCTCTGCATTACGACGAAAGACGAGCGACCGCCCGACCGATCCGATGAGAGAGTTCCTTTGCTAGTGGTCTCTGGAGTTCGAGAGGCGGATTGATTCCATGTAGGGATGGCAATTACCCACCCATGGGTAATTATACCCAAATCCAAGTAGATCCATTCATAATGGGTTGGGTATGGGTGAAGTGCATATGGGTTTGGGAGTTTGTAGATGGGTTTGGGTAAGGTATGAATATTGCTTTCATAATCTAAATGGGTATGAGTTGGATATGGATATCCATTTACTTGAGGGTGTTTTAACTACACATACAAAAATTGGATTGGACCTATTTGCAAAACTTGAAAAGTTTAGCTACCATAATGTACGACCAAAAAAATTTAGGTACCAAAATGTAATTTTCCATCAATATTTTGAGGACTTATATGCAAAAAAAGTTAAAATTAAGTACTAAATATGCATATCTATTAAGTTTAGGTACCAAATTGTAATTTGCATTTGGGCATGGGTACAAACTCAAATCCATTTGTAATAAACCCAACCCAACCCAAGTAAATGAGTATGGTACAAATCCCTAATTCCATGCTCCGCTCTGCCATCGCCTACTGCTTCTGTTGTTGCTGCTCGAGATTGTTGATCAAGAAGCAGGAATTGTTGTTCATGAAACCAACTCCGATGACACCGAGAACTAGATTTTGGGATAAGATCAGGTGACTAAGGGGGGTCCCCTTAGTCACTTGCCTAAATCAATCTCAGCCATTGAGATTCATTAAAATCTAATGGCTCAAATTAATCTACTTTAATGAAGGGTAAGGTAGTAATTACATAATTTATTTATTTAATAATTAAAATAATAAAACTCACCTGCCTCGTTCCTTCCTCCGTCGGTCCGTTTTTGGGAAAATTCCCGTCGGCGGCTATTTTTGGGAAAGCTTCCCCATGGCCACCATTTTCCCAGGCCACCATTTTTGGTGTGGCGGGGAGAGAGAGAGAGAGAGAGAGAGAGATGCCACTTACTGATGCAATTTATTACTTTGTTGGGGAATTTCCCCCAAATGCAGAGAGAGAGAGAGAGAGAGAGAGAGAGAGAGAGAGAGAGAGAGAGAGAGAGAGAGAGAGAGAGAGAGAGAGAGAGAGAGAGAGAGAGAGAGCTTTTCCGGCGACGGCGGAGCAATTTTCCGGCGACCAGAGACAGTGGTGGATGGTTTTCCGACAACAGTATTTGAGTCCGTGATGTTTGTAATGTTTATATTACTATTTTGTATACATTGTAATGTTTGTAATGTTAGTAATGTTTGTTTGTCTAGTTTGTATACTTTATGTTATGATTTATACACTTTCTATTCATTGATTTGTATTTGTAACTTTTGTTATTCAAGTTTGTATACTTTTATGTTATGATTTGTATACTTTGTATTCATTTGTTTGTAATACAAGTTTACCAATCTGTATTGTAAGTAGTGATATTCTGTACGTGTAGTATGCTTTGTACTGTTTGTAATGTTTGTTTGTAATGTTTGTTATTTTGTAATGTTTGTAATGTTTGTTGGTTTCTTTTATACTGTTTGTAATGTTTGTTATTTTTGTCCACATTTTTGTCAACCATGTTTGTAATATTTTTTTGCATCACAAATCAATACATATAAAGTATACAAATTATTAGTACTTACAATACAAAGCGAAACATACTAAGAATACAAGCAAAACATACTAAGAATACAAACTGTCAAAGAAAAACATACTAAGAATACAAACTGTCAAAGAAAAACATACTAAGAGTACAAACTGTCAAAGAAAAACATACAAACCATGCTGACATTTTGTACAAAAATACTAACAATACAAACTAATGTTACAAAACATACAAACTATACAAATCACTGTTCTTCCTTCAGACGATGTCTCTCCACCGCCGCCGCCGCCGCCGCCGACTCTCTACAGCCGTCGTTACCTCTGTTTTCCCGGCAACAGATCTACTTTATCTCTCTTCCACCGCCTCCGTCGCGATCGTCTTTCCCTCTCTCCATCGTCGCCGACGCGGTTGAGATCTCCTCGCCGTCGCCCCCCTCTCTTCCACCGTCGACGTCCTTCTCTCCCCGCTGCTGCTTTTCTCTCTCCTATGGCCTGCAATGGCGACGCAGAAGAGGATGACTGGAGGAAAAATCGCGATCTCCTTTCCCTCTATCCACCGTCGTCGGCGCCGTCGAGATAGTCGACTTTCTCTCTCTCATCCGCCGGCGTTGCAATCTGTGTTTCCTCCGCCATGGCTCTCTCTCTCTCTACATCACAAAAAAGGGAAAGTAAAGAGACGTGTTGCAGAGGAAAAAAAAATTCAATAATAAATAAAACAAAATTAAAAAATAGGAGTTAATAAATTATTGATAATACCAAAACTACCCTTCTTATTTAATAATAATTGATTGAGTTATCTGGACCATCAGATCAATCCAAGGGCTGAGGGGGGCTTAGTCAAGTGACTAAGGACCCCCCTTAGTCACCAGATCCGGACTCATTTTGGTATTTATATATATGGTGTGTGTTTGTATAGGGTATTGGGGTGTGTAGAAGTGAAATTAGTTTTTTATTTTTTTTTATTTTAATGAATGTAATAATGAGGTTGAAAATATAAAAGTTTATCTTTTTATTTTTAATAATTTTTTAATTGTCACGTCACATATTTAACGGTCAATTATGAAAGTTGACTGTCACGTAAGCTAGAGTTACGGAAATGGACAGAGAGTGACCAAACTTGAACCATTTGACTAATTTGAGTGACCAAGATTAGATTTAAATATTTCCAGTGACCAAACATGAACGTTTTTTTGTAATTTCAGTGATCAATCATGCAATTAACCCATCACTCAACGTTTCTATTTCATTTTTCTTTTCCAATACTATTATTTAGGGTTAATTGCATGGTTGGTCACTGAAATTACAAAAAACGTTCATATTTGGTCATTGTAAATATTTAAATCCAATCTTGGTCACTCAAATTAGTTAAATGGTTCAAGTTTGGTCACTCTCCGTCCAACTCCGTTAAATTTGTCTGATGTGGCAGTCAACCCTCAAAGTTGACCGTTAACTCAGTGACGTGGCAATTAAAAAATAATAAATAAAATAAATTTTAATCTTCTACCATTTCCAACTCATTTTCACATTAATATAAAAAAAATAAAACAAAAAAAAATTACAAATAAAGGGCGCTTCCTCCCTCTCCCTCTTCAACAACTCCATCAACTCCTCCCTCCCCGGCGCCATCTCCGCCTGCCGCGCCCTCCGCTTCCTTGACCTCTCCCAGAACCTCCTCCAAGGCCCCATCCCGCCCGCTCTCGCCGACCTCCCCGACCTCCGCCACCTCGACCTCCAGGGGAACAGCCCGGCCCCGTCCCACCTCCTCACCGCGATCCCGTCGGCGTACATCAGATCCGCCGGCAGGATCACCCGCCTTGCTCCCCCGGTGACCTCATCGACCTTGAACACCTTCCCGGTGTTGCTCTGCACCACGAGAAGGTACCCCTTGCTGACGTAGGCCACGCCGTTGAGCCCCGATTCGCTGTACGGCAGGTCGTGGTCGACGGGGGATTCGGTGAATTTATCCGATCTGGAGAAGATCGACGCGTTTCCTTCCGAATCTACTTTCCAGATGAAGTTACCTTCCTCAGTTCCCAAGGAATTGGTGACGTACGCGTTGCCCTTGAAGTCGACGGCCACCGCGTTCGCGACGGGGCGCCCGGTGGCTCCGCCGTCGGGGAGGAGGGAGAGGAAGAGCTGCTGGTGGGTGCGGAGGTCGTAGGCGGCTAAGGCGTTGAAGATTGGGAGCGGGGCCATGGAGTGGACGGCGGCGAGGAGGCGGTTGTTGACGGAATCGACCGCCAGACCGAGGATCGAGGCGTTGGGAGGGAGAGAGAGGTCTGTGATGAGGGTGTCGACGACGCCAGCATCGGAGACGGAGTGGATCGAGCGGTGGCGGAGGGATCCGACGATGAAGTGCTGTGCGGAGCGGTTGTAGGCGAGTCCCTCTGGGTAGAGATTGGGGGATCGGAACTTGATGACGTGTGGTTTCCCCGCCGTGGCGCGATTAGGAGGATGATGATGGAGAAGAGGAAGGAGATCAGAGAGATTGCAGCCATGGCGGATTGAAATGATTGATTTGGGGGGCGCGCTAGCTAGGGATTTGGAGTTTGGCTAATGGCGATGGGATTAAGGTGGCGGAGGTCGAGGTGTCACTGTAAATTTTTTATTTATTTATTTTACTTTAATATGAAAATGAGTTGGAAATGGTAGAAGATTAAAATTTATTTTATTTACTATTTTTTAATTGCCACGTCACTGAGTTAACAGTCAACTTTGAGGGTTGACTGCCACATCAGACAAATTACGGAGAGTGACCAAACTTAAACCATTTAACTAATTTGAGTGACCAAGATTGGATTTAAATATTTACAGTGACCAAACATGAATGTTTTTTGTAATCTCAGTGACCAACCATGCAATTAACCCTTTGAGTGATAGAGTCCAAAATCAAGTAATCAACTCGTTACTCTGGCTGGCGCACAAACGCATCAACTGATCAACAGCAACGCCGGCGGCCGTCACACTGCCTCTCCCGGATATACAGAGCCGACTCCTAGAGCTTACAACGAACCAGCAGCAAGATCAAATCGGAGCCAATCCAGAAGCTCTTGAAGATGGCCGGCACCGGCGGCGGGGAGCTCAAGTACGAGATGGCACAGAACGCCTACATCAAGCTCGTCCTCCACGCCCTCAAGCACAAGACCTCCGCCGTCAACGGCGTCTTGCTCGGCCGCACTTCTCCTAAGAACGAAAGCCTCGTCCAGATCGAAGATTCCGTCCCGCTATTCCACAATCACCTTGGTCTCCTCCCTCCCCTCGAGATCTCCCTCATCATGGTATCTTCCTCGTCTTCACCCGTCCTTCCCCTCTCGTTCCCCTTCCTCAATTTCTCCGAAACTTTTGATCTGGATTCTAGGGTTTAATTTTAATTTCAATTTAATGTCCCCAATTCCCTCTTCCTTCTTACCCATTGCCCCCGCTAACAATTGGGGAACTTTGCTAAATTGAGCTGCCTGATGGTTTCGTGGGGGATTGATTTTGTGCTTGTGTCCGCAGATAGAGGAGTACTATAGTGCTCGAGGTCTTGGAGTTGTGGGGTACTTCCACGCGAATGAGAGGTTTGATGACACAGAGCTTGGTAATATATCGAAGAACATTGCTGATCACATCTCTCGCTATTTCCCACAGGCTGCTGTTCTATTGGTGGGTCATCTGTATTCTTTTGTGATGTTTGCTGTGGTTTTGTAAGCTTGGACTTTGAATTTCAGGCTGTTTGACTGACTTCCTCTTGATTTCATGTGTAGCTAGATAACAAGAAGCTTGAAGCTTTACCAAAAGGGAAAGACCGCAGCCCTGTTGTGCAGGTTCGTTTCTTATGCTTCTATGGCTTTTTAGCTTTCGAGAAGGGATCTTATCTGTACTGTAAAGCCAAATCAATTGGTGGTGGGAGTAACTAAGTTTTTGAAAAGTGAACAAAAATGGGGTTTTTTTAACTAATGCATTCTTTGATTGGGATATGGTTATTTGGTTTGAGTTTTCCAAACTTGTGAGTGATAGAAGTCTCCTGCTCCCTCTAAAGACGTCAGCTTATAGTGACTGAATCATGAGTTGATGCCACACTTGATTAGTATCATTGGCAGTATTCTAATCGCAAAGCCAGACACTTTCAATGTGGGGTTCCTGCATTCTTACAGAGAAGATTTGAATCCTTGGATAGAGAAACTATATAAAAGGATTAACATAGAATCTGCAGATTCAGCTAGATGGGCTTCCAGTGGTGAATTTGATCGATTAATGTGGTTATTCAAGCTTGTAGTTGTACATAGATGGAAAACGTTGAAGAGGTTGTGGGGAGTTGTTCATCAGTATACCCTTCAAGCAGTTAACACCATGATTGCACAAGTACAAGTTCTGTGTATACTGGTTGATGCAGGTTTTCTGAACTTTGGTCAATGCTAGTTGTTGTTTTTGGCTATTAGCCCGCTCTCTCTTTATTCTACGATCGTACGTGTAGTTGTTGCTTCTGAATCTTTACCCAAGGCAACTAAATGGGTTGTTTTCCTTATATTAGCTTTACACAAAGGATGCATACAAGAACTGGAAGCTGGTTGCGGAAGATGGGGGCATTCGCTTGACATTTAAGGAACCAGCTGCAAATACCATCTTACTGGACTACATTTCTTCCGAGAAGTGGCAAGAGGTGGTTGATTTTGATGATCATCTCGATGACATTACCAAGTAAGCTTTCACATACAAAACGAGTATCTAATTTGGTTAAACATTAGCTCCATAATCACCTCGATGGTCCATCTATATTGCAGGGACTGGTTGAACCCAGATCTGTTCAAGTAAAAGCACCTTGTTTGGATGTGCATCTTGGCTATGCTCCATTTTCACTTGATGGCAAGGTTGGCTGATCTTGATGTACTATGTCGGCATCATATCACGACTCACAGAGGCAACAAGTTCTTTTGCGCGTTCGCCGTGGGAAATTTTTGTAGCTTGTATTCATGGAAAAGAAACATCCTTTCCATGCTTAACTTTACCAGACAAGTTCCTGGGTACCTTTGTTTTCTGAACTATAGCTTCACTGCATCAATCTGGTTTGTTAAAAGTTGCACCGAAAGTTACCCAAGTAGCATCATCCATGCTTAAATCTTAATGTAACTGACAATGAGATCCCAAACTTTTTTGTTCCAAGTGCTGCAGCAGTTCTATGGAATATTGTTTTGTTTTAATCAACATTCAGTTTATGACATCCAAGCCTAAATGTCGATGTTATTCGTCTGAATTCAAAACATTGACTCCCAAGTTCGCAATCTAGTTATGCTCCTAACAAGGCCACTTGTTAGGAGATGCTAACAGGGGCGGATCGGCCTCCACGTCGCCAAGGCTGCATCCATCGGTGGAGGAGAGAATGAGCCGATTTCATCGGCTGGGCAAAGCCCACAGCGGCTTGCGGGGCCCGTCGGGCCCACTAATTCAAAAACAAAACAAAAAAACCCTAAACCTACCCCTTTTCACTTCTCCGCCCATTTGGTTTTCCCCTCCTCTCTCTCCCTTTCTCTCTCCCTTTCCTCTCCCTTTCCTCCTCTCCCAAACGCAGACGAACGGCCGCGGTGCAGCAAACTCGGCGGCCACGAACTCGGCGGCAGAGATCTCGGCGGCCACGACGAAGCAGCAAACCCGGCGTTCTCGGCGGCGGCGACCTTACAGCGAACTCGGAGATCTCGGCGGCGGCGACCTTGCAGCGAACTCGGCGGCGGCGATCTCGGCGGCAACGATCTTGTCGGCGGCGACGAAACATCGATCTCGGCGGCGGCGCTTTGCAGGGAACTCGGGTTCTTGATCAAGTAAGGTTTCAAGCATAGTTTTGTGGATATTAGTTTTCGATTGGACAGATTTGAGTTAGGGTTACATGATTCGTTCTTCTGTGGGTTTTATTTCTGGGTTTTGTGGAATGGCTTTCTGTTTGTGTCGATATTTAGTTCTGTTTGTGCCGATATTAGTTTAGTTCGTGTCGATATTAGTTCTGTTTGTGCCGATATTAGTTCTGTTTGTATTGATATTGGTTTTCATCGAGCATGATATCAGTTTTCACTTTCCTGGATAGTTGTTTTATTGGATCTGGGTATTTGTCTTTTTACTAGATCTGGGTTTTTCTTTTTCTGCGTTTTTTGAAGTTAAGGTTTCATGGTTTTTACTAGATCTGGGTTTTTCTTTTTCTGCGTTTTTTGTATGAGTTTGATGGATTTGTTTTCTGGTAACTTAGATTTGACTGGATTTGGGTTGCTTTCTTTTGTGGATTATGTGGATATGTTTTCTGGGTTTGTGGATGTGACTGGATATGGGTCTGGGTTGCTTTGTTTATGGATTTTGTGGATTTGATTGGATCTGGGTTGCTTTGTTTTCTGGGTTTTGTGGATATGTTTTGTGTGCGTTCCGATATTAGTTTTGTTCGGGCAGGATATCAGTTTTTAATTGCCTGGATAGTAGTTTGATATATCTGGATATTCTTACATTGATATTGTTTTTGGTTGACCATGATATCATTTGTGAATTGCCTAGATAGTTGTTTGATATATTTGGATTAAGCGGATATGTTTTCTGGGTTTGTGGATGTGACTGGATCTGGGTTTGGGTTGCTTTGTTTGTGGATTTGATTAGATCCGGGTTGCTTTGTTTTTTGGGTTTTGTGGATATGTTTTGTGTGCGTTCCGATATTAGTTCTTTTCGGGCAGGATATCAGTTTTTGATTGCATGGATAGTTGTTTGATATATCTGGATATTCCTACATTGATATTGGTTTTGGTCGACCATGATATCTTTTGTGAATTGCCTGGATAATTGTTTGATATATTTGGATATGACTTGTTTGATATTACTTCTGATCGTTAGGGTATTCGTTATGTGGAGTCCAGCTATTGATTAGCTAATGTCAGGATATTCTACTGGGCAGGGAAATCATAATGACAAGAACTAAATCAACTGCAATGAGGACCACATCAGAAGGCGAAACCTTTAGGCCTAAATGTGCCAAACAACAACAACAAAATGAGGATCAAGAAATTGAGGATGAAGAAAGTGATGACCAAGACGATGAGGGAAAAGGAAGAAAAGTTTATTTTAGATTTGTAAAACTGAACTTAGGGTTAGATAATATATAGGGAAAGATGTTGGTTTGTAGCAAAATGGATAATATTTTGTTAAATGTTGTATATAATTACCAACATAAATTCTCAAAAACCACAGACAAAAATCGAACCACCCTACATTATGTTCAAAACCATTTCCACAATATCGTCTTCTAAACCCGAAACCAAAACTCGAGCCCTGTACCTGAAACCCTAACCCTAAACACAAAGTTTGAACCCTGAACCCTAATACCCACCACACACAGATTAATATCTGAACATCACAAACTAATACCAATTACACATAAACTCTAAACCTTAATCGCTTATTAAACTAAATTTCAAAACAAACACAGATAAACATCCATACAAAACAAATCCAAACCACCTAGAATAATATCCGTTCACCATAACAAATACCCACAACACCCGGACCAATATCTCATCGCCTAAGACCAATATACATTCAGATCGTAAATAATATCCTCACCATACAGACTAATACCCACCACACACAGACAAATATCTGACCATCGCAGACTAATATCCATACATCTCATACTAATATCCTCCAATCACATAATAATATCTTATCACCACAGACAAAAATCGAACCACCCTACATTGTTTTCAAAACCATTTCCACAATATCGTCTTCTAAACCCGAAACCAAAACTCAAACCCTGTACCTGAAACCCTAACCCTAAACACTAAACACAAAGCTTGAACCCTGAACCCTAATACCCACCACACACAGATTAATATTTGAACATCACAAACTAATACCAATTACACATAAACTCTAAACCTTAATCGCTTATTAAACTAAATTTCAAAACAAACACAGATAAACATCCATACAAAACAAATCCAAACCACCTAGAATAATATCTGTTCACCATAACAAATACCCACAACACCCGGACCAATATCTCATCGCCTAAGACCAATATACATTCAGATCGTAAATAATATCCTCACCATACAGACTAATACCCACCACACACAGACAAATATCTGACAATCGCAGACTAATACCCACCGCACATAGACTAATATCTAACAATCGCAAACTAATACCAAAAGTAATAAAATTGACAATGAACTAATATCAACAGACTAATATCAGTTAATGAGAAAACAAATATCCAAACATCCCAGACAAATAGTTGAAAACATGAACTAATATCTCAAACCAAAAGCTAATATCCGAACCACCTAAACTAATACCCATTCTTTGCAAAAACAAAGACAAACACCACCGAGTTTAATATCCGACTACAAGACTAATCACTAAATCATAAACCCTAAACCATCACTCTCCTACTATTATTGTTTCATGGGCCTTCGGCCCATGGGCCCTCGGCGGGCAGCCCTAACTAAGGTTGCAAGCCTTATGTGTTAGGACTTGATAGTGTGTTTAATTTTGATGGAAGACACAATATTCATTACTTCACAAACTAATATCCACTGCATATAATATCAGTTCATTCAAAAATAAATATCCATACCGCCCAGACTAATATCTGACCATATAAACTTGATATCCTTCAGCCCATGGATAAATATCCACACACAAAAAAAAAATGAGAGAGGTTGAGAGAGAAAAGAAGTGGTCCAAAAATAAATTCCCCCAATCACTCTCTTTCCCCCACTTTTTCGTCACTTCTCTCTTTCTTGCAATTACTTTTTCCTTTTTTTTTTCTTTTCTGTCACTTCTCTCCTCTCTCCAATTATTTATCACTTTTCTTTATATTTTTTCGTCATTTCTCTCCTCTCTCCAATTAATCAGCTTCTTGGTGGACCCGCAGAAGCCACTTTTTCAGCTTCTCTCCCCCATTTTAATCATTTCCCCAAATAAATCACCCACCCTCTCCCTTTCTTTCCCTTTCTCCCGCCCTTGACAACTGGTCCCCACCGAGCCGCCACCCATCAGCTCCCTCTCCTTTCTCGGCTGGGCTAAAAAACCCACAAAATCCCACTTAAATGAGCCCATCTATCCCCTCCGTTGGATCTCAGCTGGGCCTACGTGGACAAAATCCAAACCGTGTTAGCATCTCCTAACAAAGACATCAGTTAGGAGACTAACTTTTTCGCAAGTTCGTAGTTTGTCTATTAAATTTCCACTGAGCGCGCGAAGGGCGAAGTGAGAGCTTCGAAACTTTAGTCTTCAAAATGCTTACCTCCGCATTTGGGCTTCACATGACGACCCTGCCGCCGGACACGAATTCTCCAGCAGCTCCAAAGAGCTACACACCTCATCTACTCCATAAATTCGATTCTCCAGCGGAGCTCAAACAGCTCCATGCCCACCTTATCAAAACCAATGCCTCTATCTCCGTCCTTCCACTACCCAAAGTTGCTTCTGTTTGCTCCCGCGGCCGCTGCTTCCCCTACGCCCAACATATCTTTGCTCGCTCCGACAACCACGACACTTCCGTCTGGAATTCGTGCCTGAGAGCTCTGGCAGAAGGCGATCACCCCATCGATGCCGTCTCGCTGTTCTACCAGATGCGTACGTCGGATGTCTTGCCCGACGCGTTCACTTGCTCCTTCCTTCTCAAAGCTTGCGTGAGCTTGTTAGATATCGCTAACGGTAAAATCCTTCATGGGGTTGTTGAGAAGCTTGGGTTTGGGTCGAATTTGTTTCTGCAAAACATGATCTTGAATTTGTATGGACTGTGTGGGGAAATGGCTGATGCAATGTTACTGTTCGATAAAATGCCTCAAAGAGATGTCGTCACTTGGAACACCGTAATAACCCAGATGCTCAAGAGGGGAGATATCGAGGGCGCTTCAAGACTCTTCTCCAGGATGCCGGAGAGGAATATCAGGTCATGGACGTTGATGATTTCGGGCTGTGTCCAGTGCGGGAAACCAAAAGAAGCCATTGATTATTTCCTGAAGCTGGAAGAAGAATCTGGGTTGCGGCCTAACCAAGTCACGGTTGTATCTGTTCTTGCAGCCTGTGCTGATCTCTGCGCTCTAGATTTGGGGAAAAGGGTTCACGAGTACTCAAACAGAAGCGGGTTCAAGACTAACGTGCTCGTTTGCAACACCTTGATCGACATGTATGCCAAATGCGGTTCCCTGGAGGAAGCCAGCCGAGTTTTCGACGAGATGGAAGGAAAACGAACCGTGTTTTCATGGTCTGCAATGATTGTGGGACTTGCAGCGCATGGACGAGCTCAGGAAGCCCTGAGCCTCTTTTCAAGCATGCTCCAGGATGGAACAGAACCAAACGGTGTTACATTCGTGGGTCTGTTGCATGCCTGCGCCCATATGGGTCTTGTCGACGAAGGTCGAGCCTTTTTCACCAGCATGACTCGGGATTACGGAATAACTCCAGGGATCGAGCATTATGGCTGCATGGTTGATCTCCTGAGTCGAGCTGGACTAGTGAAAGAGGCTTATGAATTCATCATGGAAATGCCTATTAAACCGAATGGTATCATCTGGGGTGCTCTTCTTGGTGGTTGTAGGCTTCACAAAGACATCAAATTGGCTGAGCAAGCAATTCAGCACCTCTCTGTACTGGATCCTCTCAACGATGGGTATTACATCGTGTTATCGAACATCTATGCAGAAGCTGGTCGATGGGAAGACGTGACGAGAGTAAGGAAGCTGATGAAGGCGAGAGGGGTGAAGAAAACCAGCGGGTGGAGTAAGATAACTCTGGGCGGTGGAATCGTTCATGAATTCGTGGCTGGAGATGAGAGTCACCCACAGGCTGAAGGGATATTTCGAAAGTGGGATGAACTTGCTGTTGAGATGAAGCTTAGAGGGTACGTGCCCAACACTTCACTTGTGCTGCTCGACATCGAAGAGGAGCAGAAGGTGAAGTTCATTTATCGTCACAGCGAGAAGTTGGCTGTGAGTTTCGGGCTGTTGAACACTCCGGCTGGAACGACGATCAGGATCATCAAGAATCTACGTGTTTGTGAGGATTGTCATTCGGCTTTGAAACTGATAGCGGCCATCTCTGGTCGTGAGATTGTTGTGCGTGATCGTAATAGGTTCCATTGTTTCAAGGACGGATGCTGTTCTTGTGGGGATTATTGGTAATGCATTGTTGAGCAATTAATCACTTGTTTCAAAAGACCGTTTCGGTCACATTCACTACAGCTCTTTCTCCACAGGCCATCCACTACCACAGTACCACTCTACAATCATCAATTCTTAGTCTTAGTGCCTACTCTGCCTACTGAGAAAGATAAGACAAAGTGCGTTCAAAAGGAAAAGCATAAAGGGCGAAAAAGAAAACAAAACAATCATAACACTTCCTCCAAAACCAAAATTGGCCACAAAATTGCATAATCTAATGACCTCTCCCAAGTCCCAACTACCCACCATTGAAATTCCGCTCATCTTTCATTTCTTCCCTTTAAAGAAAGTTTCACTTATGTCCCAGCAATAAGCACACACAAGCAGTAAATCAGCCAACCCAAAGAAGAAACCATTTCAGGGAGACATCCATAGCCAGTTACAGTCGCCAGAGAGCTCCGAGCACAAAATGCTAAAGCTCCTAACTTTCCTCCATATCCTGTCCCTCTCCCTCTTTCTCCTCCAACCCAGTTCCCCATTCTGCAATGGGTTCCCAGATTCGGTAGTTGAAAGCGGTGAGCTCCACGGCGGCGGCGTTGTTGGCGGTGGCTTATATGAAGAAGAGGCGGAGATGGAGTCGGAGATCAGCAGGAGGCTGATGCTAATGCAGAGGAAGTACATAAGCTACGCGACGCTGAAGAGGGACATGGTCCCTTGCGACAACCCAGGTGCTTCCTACTACGATTGTCACCCTCGTGCCGCCAACACATACAACCGGGGTTGTGAAGTCATTGCCAGGTGTAGAGGTATCAAAGACGTCTCTGATTGATTGATAGATCGATTTCTATTCAAAGGAGATGAAATGAAGTCAGTGGGTTGGGGAAATTGAGTCTACTTTTTCCTCCCAACCCCAGATTCGATGCAATTTTGGGGTTTCTTCTCTTTTTTGGGTGTTTCTGTATATTTGGAGGACCCTTCTTTTTGTTCAGTGTTCTGCTGCTAGCTGTAAGAAGTTGTTTAGATCCAAGTTTTGATTGGCGGCAGATCTGGGGTTGGTGTGCCTCCATTTCTCAGTGGATGAAGTTTGATTTGTTTATGGGGTGTCATTTCCTTTTCGACAAGTCCCCTTGCTTTGCAATGCCAAATCACAATGCAATTTCTGTGGGTTTTGAAGGATTCTGGGATGGTTTTGCGGAATATGGTCTGCAATTTCCTGGGTTCGTGTTCCCGTCAGCAGGCCTGTGATTCTGCATTCTTGTGTATCAATTCAATCATCGGCTAACGGTCAACACGGCATGACTTTTTGGGATGAAACTAAAGGGCCTTGGTGTAGTTTCACTAATCTGGAAGTGCGACTCTGAAAAGATTCCTCCTTTTCTTTTATGAAGCCCCTGCTACGATTGAAATCTATGATCTAAGGTATGGGTGTTACCCAAAGTGGAACTGTGTTTTCTTTAAAAAGAAATTTCCCCTTTCATCAATCTCTAGTCTGGATTCTGGACACAAAGTGCTGTTTTGCTACTTCCAGTTGGGGCATGCTAGGAAATGGAGTCAGTATTGCCTTGTCTTTAAAGGGTAGCATCAGGCAATTTCAGAGGTGGTTGGGTTGGAAAATTCTTCCTCGACGTCTACTGCTGAGTTTGGCCACAAAATGGATGGGCCGTGGAGCGGATTGGAGTCCCTCCGTTGAAGGGTGGGTTGCTTTGATTTCCTCCCCTGCCTAATCAAATCTGCAGAGATGGAAAAAGTGAACCATGCCGTTCTGTGCATCTTTTTCACCGTCGAACACAGACGGAAGGCCAGTTGGCTCTTCTGTTTGAAGTGTCTGCAATACACATTACACGATCTTGAATTGTCGTGTATGATAGATTGCGTCGATATGATTTTCATCACGATTTCCTCACCGTCTACCTGTTAATCCTGTAAACTTCTGACTTTACTGGTTTGATTTCTCTCCTACATCTTCACTAGTTGAATTTTTCTTCCTTTCTCGAATAAGTGATTGAAATGGTAATGACTTTTTCTTTTGCAATGCAACCATTTTAAATAGACCTCACAGACCAACAGATCTCACTTGGCATCGACTAACCATTGCAAAATGTTTATAACCATTGCCAGTATTATACCGTTAGATACACTTTGAATCACAGCAATCTTCGCTATATGTGATGAATTGATCATTACTCAAACTGATCTAAACATCAATTTCTTCATGCTTAGGCCCTGTTCACTTTCATTTTCGTTTCCTGTTTTCTGTTTTCATGTCATAAATTTGGCAACCGAAATGAGAAAACTTGTTTACTTTTCATTCCGTTTTCTATTCGTTTCCAACTATGAAAACAGAAAGTGGCAACTTCCTGCTGTTTTTGGAAACGAAAAAATGTTGTTTTCACCTGTTTTCAATATCTGTTTTCTCAAAAACAGGAAACAGAAATGAAAGGAAACAGGCCCTTAGGTTCTAAATGTCTCTAATAAACCAATCATCATCCCATTTATGGACCCTATCAAGATGAGTTCGAACTGACGACTGAGTTACTTAACCTCCAGGACTAGTTCGTTTAACAGTTCCCTCTTATAATGATTTTCTCAGCTGTGTTGGGACTTGGGAACCAAGAATACGACAGTATCGCCACACATGAAACGACAGCAACAACCATCCAATGACATGATAGTGAAGCTCAACAAATCTTCATTTTGTCTATCTTTTTCTGGTAAAAAATGATGATAAGCCGGCGCAGCACGCAGCAGCGGCACAAAATCCGAATTTGCAGAATCAAAAACCCAAAAATCTATCTCACACAGCCCCATTCCCGATATCCGACCATTATTCTTCCAACCCGTTGAGGTCAAAAAGACCCAACCCATTCCTCTCCTCCTCCAACAACCCGTTGTGGTCAAAAAGACCCAACCCTTTCCAGCCACAAAACACAACTCTAAAAGAGAAAAGCCTAAACACAACCATTCATCCGAGTTCTTTTCCTGAATGCAAAACAAACCAAACAAACCGCACTGGTCTTCTCCAAACCCTCTCCTTTTGGTGGTATTGCTCAGTACCTGTAGTGAGCAGGCTTGTAAGGACCCTCGACAGGAATGCTGATGTAGTCAGACTGGTCCTTGGTCAGCTTGGTGAGCCTAGCTCCGAGCTTACCGAGATGAAGAGCAGCAACCTTCTCATCAAGATGCTTGGGCAGAACGTAAACCTTCTTCTCGTACTTGCCGCTGGACCTCTCGTTCCAGAGCTCCAACTGTGCAATCACTTGGTTGGTGAACGAGCAGGACATCACGAAGCTGGGGTGGCCAGTTGCGCATCCGAGATTCATCAAACGACCTTCAGCCAACACAATGATGCCGCTCTTGGTGTCGGGGAAGACCCACCTGTCGGTCTGGGGCTTGATGGTGATTCTCTTCACACCGGGGAAGGTCTCGAGTCCTTGCATGTCGATCTCGTTGTCAAAGTGACCAATGTTGCAGACAATGGCGTTGTTCTTCATCTTCCTCATGTGGTCGACCATGATGATGTCCTTGTTGCCGGTGGTTGTGCAGAAGATGTCAGCCTCAGAGACCACATCCTCGAGGGTCAACACCTGGAGACCTTCCATGAGAGCCTGGAGGGCGCAGATGGGATCGATCTCAGTGACGATCACACGAGCACCAGCCTGCTTCATGGCAGCAGCACAGCCCTTTCCGACATCACCATAACCACAGACAACTGCGACCTTGCCGGCGATCATGACATCGGTGGCCCTCATGAGACCATCGGGGAGGGAGTGACGGCAACCGTACAAGTTGTCGAACTGTAAGACCACAGATTGAAACCAAGCATTAGCCACAAACACAAACATCAGAAATCAATCGGTAACAGATCCAAATCATCATGAAAGTAGCTAAACATGCATATAACGAAGAAGGGTAATGGATATAACATTCAAACAACCCCCTAAATCTAAATGTCATTCTAGCAAAGGCCAACCAAATAAAGCTCGATTCTTTGTTACAATTCAAGTGCCAATTTTTGACTTGTAAGAATATCAAATATATCAGATCTGAAAGACTGCAACCTCAATTAACTCAGGCAATCACAGAATCATTCCAGATCTACCAATCATGAACTGAACGAACGAGTAAGAATGAGAATGGATAGAGATTTACCTTGCTCTTGGTGACAGAGTCGTTGACATTGATAGCAGGGAACAGAAGAGTTCCATTGGCCTGCATCTGGTAGAGCCTCTTGACTCCAGTGGTGGTCTCCTCAGAAACACCCACTAGTCTCTCCTTCATCTTGTGGTACTTCTTGGGGTCAACCTTCAACCCGTCCCTGATAATGGTGAGGACGATCTGGAACTCGGCATTATCCGTGGAAGCCGGATCGGGGACCTTGCCAGACTTGGCGAACTCCTCCTCGGCCTTGACACCCTCGTGGATCAAGAGGGTGGCGTCACCGCCGTCATCGACGATCAGATCGGGGCCGCCACCGGGGCCCCAGTCGAGGGCCCTCTCGGTGCACCACCAGTACTCCTGGAGGGTCTCCCCCTTCCAGGCGAAGACGGCGGCGGAGTCGCGGGCGATGGCGGCGGCGGCGTGGTCCTGGGTGCTGAAGATGTTGCAGGAGCACCAGCGGACCTCGGCGCCGAGGGCGGTGAGGGTCTCGATGAGGACGGCGGTCTGGATGGTCATGTGGAGGGAGCCGGTGATCCTGGCGCCCTTGAAGGGCTGCGAGGGACCGAATTCGGTCCTGCAGGAGATGAGGCCGGGCATCTCGACCTCGGCGAGCTCGAGCTCGAGGCGGCCGAAGTCGGCCTGGGACATGTCCTTGACCTTGTACTCCCGGCCGGCGGAGGTTTTGTCGACGATGAGCGACATTGCGACGGGGAGGGAATTGGGGATCTGAGAAATTTAGGAGAGGGATGAGAAGTGAGGCGAGAGACAGGGTTGAGTGAAGGGAGTGGATGGGGTTTATAAAGAGGAAGGGTGAGGGGAGATGGACGGCTGTGATTGGATCTGGGTGAGGAGGGAGGGAAACGGTGTCGTATGGAGTGGAGCTGCGATCTGGTGGGGGTTGGTGGATCTAGGTTGGGGTGGAAAAAGTATACGGATGCGGCGAGAACGCCGTGCTGGACTCCCACTTGTGGTGACTGAAATGGACGGTGATCCGGTGGGGTATTCGTTCGGGGCGACACGTGTCGTCTGATTGATGGTCGTGTGGGAGGATGTGTGGTGTGGGGTCTGAGAAGTGAGAAGAATTAGGTCTGGGCTTTCTGAGTTGTTAACTTTTTATGTTATTTACATTTTTTCAGTTGTAAATTTATTTATCTCTATTCTCTAACAAACAAATTTAGAAAGTTGAAGAAGATCCAGAAATCTGGGGAGGATCATTAGATTTTCCGTTTTAACCTCCATAACATGAAAATTTTGAATGTGTAGTTGGAGGAGAAGAAGTTTCAGTGGCTTTTCCGCACAATTTTATGTGTTTTTGAAGTTGATGTTCAAGTTTTATTTTGTATAAATGGAACCACAGTTTTATATATTTCTAATCAAATGGAATTCAAGGATCATAACACTATCATAGTTTATCGAGCAATTTTGTACTTCAATTGGATCATTATAGATAATGAAATGAAAGTCCAAAGAGAGTTTGTACTCTTCTTTAAAAAATTGGAAAAAAAATTCCTAAAGTTTTCTCTTTACACACGAGATATACAAATTCAATAAATTGCTTGAATGAGACGATGTTTTTCAAGGTTCGACTCCTAAAGTTTTCTCGTAAGTTTTAATGGCAGTTGTTCAGTCCATGTAAAGGTACAATTTGGTATTCATTATCAATATTCGATTTTTCATCCTCGCTGATCCTCGCCCTTATTAATGGCGAAATCTTAAACATTAAATAACATCCAAATTTTATCCTAAACTAAATGGTCAATAAGGAATAGTTATATTATGACGTAACTTGGTATTTGTAAATCAATCACCGACTGTTGGCTTCATTGCAGATATACAAAGGCCTGTGTATAATAATATAAAAAAAAACTAATTTGATCTATCGGTTTTCATTGGAATTCCAAGTTGTTTTTAGTAGTTTAGGTGGAAAGAAATTAAAACCTTCCCTAGTTTTCTTATCGACAAGTATGCATGGTTGCATTGCTATTAAGTCTCGAAATGAGAATTAGTGTCTCCACTTTCCTTTCATTGATTTCACATTTCAGATTCCAAATACGAGTAAGTATGAAGTGCTAACCCACTGAAAACTATATATTTTATGCACATCTTGTAAGAAAAGATAAGAAAATACATACAAAAACAGTACAACAAATGGGATTTGGTGCAAATAGCAGTGAGTTATACTTTCATAACACATACATAACATATTTAAGAATTTTAATAGTGTATTTATCTGGTTGTTTTGTTT